GCTCCACTCCCCCATCCCCATCCTAGCTTATTTTCTACCTGTGTGCTTCACCCCACCTCCTGCACCCTGGGGTGGGTGGGGTCTTAACTAGGGCTAATTTTGGGGGTGGAGCTTAATTTAATCGCATGCACTCAAAAAACGTGATAGGGCTTCTTTTCAAGGTAGGTCGTCTTTTTGGAGAAACATGGTAGGAGCAGCTTTAGGGTAAGAAAAACCTTGAGGATACACAAGAACAAATTTGAAAATTAAGAACAAAATTAAAAGATGGAGGAAAGGGAAGGAATAACATTAAAGGGGGACATGGCTGAAGGATTTGACCTCCCTTATACTATTTGGAGAACCCTGGGTAGATTGAGAGTTGGAATGCCTAAATGTAAAAACCAATATGCTCAAGGGGAGGCTATTAGCGGATTAACAACATGCTATGTGAATGTGGAGAGGCACAGAGCCCAACCCATGTATTGATAATGAGTTATTTTTGGCCAACGACAAAGCCAAGCAAGTGGCTTCATTGTTGCGGTTTAAAGTTTGATCTAGACACAGAAGAAGATCAGGATGTAGCCCAATGTAAGGCATTTTCCTGCATTTTACTTATATGGATACGGGATGCTTGCCTTGAAAAAATCATGTTGAAGTTGCCAGATTTATCAGCTAGGAAGGGTTCACTACATTCTTAGGCCTGCTGGACTGTTCTTTTGCAATGGAATGTGGCACTAAGAATCACCACGCAGACAAGACTCTTGTAGTGGTGTGCTAAGTGTAGAATTGGGACAGCTGAATGGAACTGAGCATTTACGGACTGGATCCCGTTCCTGACACCTAAAATGAGCCGGGGGGGGGGGAAGAGGTAAAGGTTTGTCTGGTTAGCTGAAAATCTTTTTGTTTTAATCCTTATTTTATTACATGTAAAGATTCATTATCCTGAACTTAAGAGTGCAGGACCTCACATGGTTAGGACATTGGGTTGGGGGTTAGCAAGCCCACGTTTGTGGCCCAAGTGCTGCGAAGTGGTGAGGTGAGCGCCAGTGGTGGGTTGCACTTACCTTCACTACCGGTTCGCTCATTGTGCACGCTTGCGTTCTATTCATGTGTGTGTGTGCGCCTGACTTGCGCTGTCTACGTGTGCACAATCCACATACCTCCGCGACAACCAGCTGATTGTTGGGGCTCATGCAGGCACTGCACCCTGTGTGCGCATGCACAATTTGCCTTTTGCCACAAAACAGGTATAGCATGCAGGTGGATGGGCAGGCCAAAAGAGCCACCGTACCGGGTCTCTCTCAGCTGCTCCGGGCCACTACCGATTCAGCTGAACTGGGCTGAACCAGCAGCAACCATCATTTGCTCCAGCTCCTTGATGGGGATATGAAAGAAGCCCCTGGACAATGGTGATGTCACCGGCTAATCCTTTCAACCCATAAGGTGCCTCCGACACAAACTGGACACGATCCTGAACTTGCAATACTATAGCTTATTCTTTATAGCTGTTTATGTTTTAATATAAAATGATAAAACATTACAAATGTATGATAATCATCTTTTTCTATCATTGACTCACTCTAAACTTGTGTCATTTTTCCATTTATTTCCACTACCCTAATTTATTTCATCCTCCCGTATCGTCAACACGTTTTAACTTCCTTGGAAAAATTAGCAGGTGACATTTCTTTTTACCAGGGAATAGATTGACAGGGAAAGAGTACGGAGACCTACACTGTAATTAAAATTATTATTTTATTTTAATGACAATAATGTTCATAATTACATCCATTTCCCTGCTGGTTTAGCCTTGGGAGTCTTCAGAAGCCAATATAATTCAACTGGAATGGCCGTGTCATAAATAAGACGCCATCGGAATGCATGTTACATCTCAGTCCAGCTAAATTCATGGTTCTCTTACAGATTGCTGGCCACATCTTCCTTTTCCCTTCTGCTTGGCACACTTTTAAAGATCATTAAAAATGAAAGCACTGAGAATGACTGTGGTGGGAAAATTCTTTCTTTTAACATGGTTCTTTGCATCATTCTGAACACTGTCTTCTCTCTTTTCCTTTTGTATCCTTCCAGGGGAACTTAAATGCAGCACTTAAATATCTGGAGCTTCACCAACTATTTATGGTGATTAATTTATTCTTACAACCTATTTCTTAATAAGCCATCTCATCTAATAGGCCATGGCTAACTATAATATGCAGCAAGTGTATTTTCCATAGAGGGCTGCTGCCATTTGCAATTCTCAGATAACATGCAATCACATTTATATAATTCATGTATTTGTAAATGCTTTTTATTTATAGTTAAACTTAAAAACAAATACAAGGAATTAAAATAAAATAAGTGAAAGTAGCCCCAAAACGACTATCAACAGGACTGTTATTTCATAATCTGCAGCTGTTGTTAAAAACATACTCCAAACTAATACCAAATTCTTTGAATATTCACATTTTTTTCTTTCTTTTGCAAAGACTATTAGGCTATCTGATGCTACATTTTTTATTGAAGAAGAAAGGTTAAACCCAGTGACATCCCTGAATTAATCTTTTCTGCCTGAAAATATGTTTTACTGACAATATTTATGTGAATAAAACTTCATCATATAGTCATTGTAAAGATTTGGTGCCAGCAGTAAATTCAGTGAGATAGCTGTCATTAATTTTATATACATGTTACCCAGGAACTTGAGTTTGATGGTAATTTTTTTTATTCTCAGATTCAGTACTTTAGGAATAAAAAGTTGATCCATTGTCCCAATATTACTAGTTAAAATTATTACTATTATTATTATTATTATTATTATTATTATTATTATTATTATTATTATTATTATTATTATTATTATTATTATTATTATA